TATAACAGCGGCTACACTCTTAGTGGTTTAGTGTCAATGTAATGATTATTTGCATGATTCATTAATAGGGATTTTGATGTTGATTATGACTAATGATCGTTGTTTTTTCCTTGATCCGATCTGGTCGAGATGGGAGAGGGTCGATGTTGATAATAATGTTAATGGTAGATTTGATAATGCGAGGGAGATCCTGGCATCGAAGGATCATTACTGTTGTTTTTTCTATTTTTTATCTTCTAATTTTACTTGGTTGTCATTTAAACGACGTCTGACGACGAATTAAATAGACACGGGAGACGAAGTGATGGTTTGGTTTTAATAGCCTGAGGACTTATGTATGACTTAAAGTCATTGTGTGCGAAGATATTTCATTTCAGTTCGCTGGGGGGCGTGTGGTCTCTTTGCATTAATATTAATCGGAGAGCGATTGATTTGAATTGTCGTTGTGACAGCTTGATGTTGCGAATGATGTTAATGAAGCAATTGGAAAGGTAATCGGTATTATCAGATAGTGTATCTCATGGGGATGTGGCTTGATTAAAGCCTATTAATTTGTTGAACATAGAGTCTGCGGATAGAAGGGAGATTTCTCGGGGTGATAAGGAAACTGATTGACTGGACAGGACGCGTAGTCAATGAGTTGATATGATTGTTTATCGTTCCTTGAGTGCGGCCGGTAAGATAGGAAGGATTGGTTGAAAGGGTTTGATGGCTGGCACGTTTGTTAATACATTGACTGCTTGAACAGCGGTCTAGATCGGTCGGTGAAATGATTGGTTGATAAACTCTTAGATTGTGCGGCTAGTTGTTAATCGAGATGTATAGGATGAGATGAGATCATAACGTAGTACAATACAATATAATATAATGTGACGTAATGCGGTATAAATTATAGTTTTGATTTGATTGATTGATTTGGGACTGATCCCGGTTGACTAGTATGTGACCTAGAACTTCTTTGCGTGAAAGGAGGGACTTTCAGATAGAATGCGGCTGGATGTTGGGGGAAGACACGGAAAGGATGATGAAATTTTTTGACGGATTTGTTTATTGCACAGGGTTTCTCTTGGGGATCGTTTTTTATATTACTGTTGCACGGAACGCTTGGTTTACGGCCAGAGGACAGGACGGTTATATTTGCAGTCGTAGAACGATTTTGTGGATATCTGATTGTTTTGTTCGTTTTTCTGGAATATCGGCAAAACAGATAAATAAGTCGAGGGTCAAGGGTTCTTGAAGACGGGAATTTCCATCGAGGGTTTTTCCAGGAAGGCTCTCGAGAGAGGTTTTAGATGGGACAAAAGAATGACCTGGGTATTGTTCGGAGGGAGAAGAAAGGCAAGCGGTTGGTCAAAATAGTGAGGGTACAGCGGTCTTGGTTAGTTTGTTGTTACTCCCAATATTGATAATGTCATTAACAATTTGTGTTAGTGTATACTATAGTAT